TATCCGACCACGACCTACACAGAGGTTTAATTCGAAAGCGGACCGAGAAATTCAATTTTGGTTTTATCACTATCGTCGGTTTAATTAGCAAATTTCGGTTAATATTATGGCTTCAGTTTAGATTTTCTGGTTTAGTAGATTTAGTAACCAAATTGAAACGGTATGACTTCAAATTCTGTAGTGCGAAATCGGTTATGTCAGTTCAGTTATTATTTAGTTAAACCAAATCGAAACGGTCACTGTAGTCGGTTAAGCGTGCTTAAGTTTTAAAAAAGTGTAAATTAAAATATATCTTTCATTAAGAAGGCCCATTGGGCCAGATTATAGTAGACATAATAACCACATAAGTCCGACAATACAAGATGGATACGACATTTCTATTGCACACGTGTTTGCTTCTAGTGGCATTCTCTGCTACGTGGCATCCTTCCAAAACGAAACAACCACAACAATCGATTTGCTCCAACACGCTGCAGCCAATGCCGAAAAAAACTTCATCGACACTACAAAGCTTCATGATTCGCAAAGATCTACTCAAAATACTTTCCTCAAAATTACATACCGAAGTTAATTACCGAAAAGGCCAAACCAACCGGATTTAAACCGAAGAACCACGAAAGAGGAGAACCAATCTCGGCACAATATTTTGTCTCTAATACCTTCTGAGATCCCCAATTTTAATAGCGTTCTATTAAAAGGTACAAAATGTACTAGAAACCCAATTTTTGGAGGAGGAGGACATCCAATCAGAAACGAGAGCTTCTTTCTCTAAGTGATTTTAACTTAAGAATGTTGGGCCCACTCGTAAAAGCAGGAACCCTCCAAAAATAGGCGTATGCCACGTGGCGAGGAGGGCACACGGTATTCTTTAGTAAAAGGCGAAAGAATAGTTCGCTTTGTGCTCACCTCATGGCTGCGTGGATATTACTTCGGCCAAGCCTCCCCATTTTATATGCATCTCTCGCTGGTAACAAACGCTCAGCTTCCCGATGTGGGACTTTTGTTACTTTTTTTCTTTTTCTTTGATAATTAATTACGCTTTCGTTTCTCTCTTGTTTTATTCGACCAACAAACAAAAATATCCATTTCACTTTCTTTCTGGTTCAAATTTTAGTTATTATTTTTTCCCCACTCTCAGTCATCCTCAGAAATCTTCTTCATCATCTCTGTGTTTTGATTTTTGTTCTGGGGTTAAAATGTGAAATAATATTGGTCTTATTCAAAAGTAGAATTTGATCATTACAGCCGATAATTGATCTTCGCAAAATTAAATTACTGGAACGGTTCAAATACCCAAAAAAGAAAATCATGTTTATTTTCTTAATTGTCATGCAACTTCTTGTCATTTTGTACAAATACTCAAAAAGGAAACCATTGGTGATGTAGAGCAAATGAATATTGTTGCTTTTAAATTGGGAATATTCATCTTATCATCTATGCATATGCTTAATCAGCCATTTGTTTTTCTTTCCCTTTTGCTGCCTTAAAATGAAAATGACACTCAGAATGACTGACACTAACGGAGACAGAAAATGTAGCAAATGAGATTTTACATATACAATACCGACAATTTTAGTGGTGATGAGGAGTCACAAGTATCGTGTGTTCGTCTTCAATGGCCTCAGTGTGTTCGTCATCTTTTGAAGCGTTTCGTGAATGCAAGCTCTTCATTCCATCTAACTGCAACATTAACCATAAATAGAAAAATGCCAAACAGATGTTAACACTTTTGCTTTTATGGGCTCCTATTAATATTAACCATGACAAAATTCAGCTACAGATGATAGTTAGTTACCCCAGGTAGTTTCCGTACGTAAAGGAAGAATAATATTTGGATGTTGAAGAAAGCTATCGTAAAGCCAATATCAGTTAACTACATAAGCATGGACTCATGTGCTAATCAACTAAAGATGGTTCAGCCGATCTGATTTTCAATTCAAGTTAGGATCAGATACCTCTCTCAAGGTTTCCTCATGTTTAGCCAAAAGCTCATTGTACTTTATTTGAAGATCAGACTTCTCAGCTTGAAGCTTTTCATACTCAGAGACTGAAGGACCACCTAGCTTCTGCTGAATGAATCTGAAGAAAAATAGAGAAAATCATGTTATGACCTGAAGAGTTGAAATGTCAAAAAACTAAAACCAAAGGATCCTATAGTAGGCATGCAAGATTTTACAGAATCAACTTGATATATATATGTTAACACTTAGCCTTATACGGTAATACCTATATCTGCACTCGTAAACTTGGAGATTTACTAACTGAAGATTAAGATGGGATATCAGCAAGAAAGAAAAACAAATAAAACTCTGATACTGTGATCTTATATCAAAATCTAATGGAAAATTGATGAACAATTTTCCAGAGGACAGGGTAACAAGTTCATGTATTTGTGTAGTCTACATCAGCATATGTAAACTTATAATCTTTTATCTAATTCATACTACAATTTAGTTTACAGTGACCTGGTTCAGCAGAACCTAGAATCAAGATTATAAGTCACTACACTACGATACTCTCTTCGAAACTAACATATAACGGTTTAAATAAAAATAGACGTCCAGAAACTTACTCTAAAGCAGAGGAAGGCTTGTCATTCTGCTCATACAAAGCAACCAGTACTACATTCAAAACCCCAACATGTTCCACAACATACAAAAAGAGTTTTAAAACGAATTATTTGCCAGAACAGATCAAATTATTCAATAATAAACTATTGAAATAGGCCAAGTAATACTGGATTATATAGAGAAAGAGATTATACTTTTGGTGAGAGAATCAAGAACTCCACTTGACTCCAAATACTTCCTGAAAGCTTCTTTCTTGGCTTCTTTCTCCTGATTCAAACACACCCCACAAATTCAAAAACTATAACAAAGTTGTTTACAGATAATGGGCATAGCCAGATCAAGTGAAGAAGCAAGACATAGAAAACAGATTTAAAACTAGGTGAAACTACATTAATACCTCTTTGTACCGCATCATCTCCTCGTACGAGAAAACAGAAAAGAAACTTCGTATATTAAACCTCTCTTTTTTCCAGCTGCATGACAAGCTTGGATCTATTTATAGATCCCGCAAAGAGTAAATACACAAAGCTTCTCAATTCATCTATTCCCTCTACTTAAAAAACGGAAAATACATTCATGATCATATAAATCAGAAACCATATCCACATAAAAAGAGAGAGAAAAAAGGGACTAGCTTTGTTACATAACAGAAAGTGCAGCTCAATTTAGACATAACAGAAGGTATAAGTTAACCAAGCTTCCCCTTCAAAACATAATTATCCAACTGATTCAGAACACAACCTTTGTCTTATAAGTTCACTAAACCTCCCAAATTCCCACAAGTGTATAACAACATCACTGCAAAATCCAATTTCAGAAATTTTTTTCTTTCTCTTGAATCTCTTTAGCTGAATAGAAAAGATGAAGCTGAGGAAACCTCCCTAATAGAATGGAAATCACAGTACTAAGACAATGAAAGAACCCAAAACGAACACATCATCTACATATACTGACAACAATTTCCAGAGATGAAGCAAAATAACAATTTTGACAATGGCAAGAGATCTCAAAGAATCTCCAAATCCAGTACTGAGGGAACCGCAATTTCCTTTGAGCATTCCATATATAACCCAAGAACCAGTCTAATCCAATTCCTAACAAGTGGAAGAAGGAGTTTGAAACACACAAAAGAAACATATTAATCAAATGGGGCTTACCTTGTTCAAAAAAGAGGTTGAGATCCAAAACCTTTATCGTTGGGTGCTTCAGTTGTGTTCTTCTAAAAACCAATGTCGTTTTCCGAACCAGCTAAGCCTTCTGAATCACGGGGTCACTGGATCGACACCGCTACTCGGCAATTTTTTTTTATAAAGTTTTTTGTTAATATATCGTATACTCGTATTAAAGATTTGGACAATTTGCAAACTCCACTAACGAAGGTCCCAAAATTTTTTTTCGCAAAAACTAGAC